ATTCACTTCCTCACTAAGTCTTAGTTTCTTTTGTTTTTGTTTTGGAGACAGAGTCTCGTCCTGTTGCCCAGGCTGGAGTGCAGTGGTGTGATCTCAGCTCACTGCAACCACCTTCCTCTTGGGTTCCAGCGATTCTCCTGCCTCAGCCTCCCAAATAGCTGGTATTAAAGGTGCAAGCCACCATGCCCAGCTAATTTTTGTATTTTTAGTAGAGACAGGGTTTCACCATGTTGGTCAGGCTGGTCTTGAACTCCTGACCTAAAGTAACCCACTGACCTCGGCCTCTCAAAGTGCTGATATTACAGGCGTGAGCCACCACACCCGGCCAGTTTCTTTATCTTTAATATGGGAATACTAATACTTAGTTCAAGGGGATTCTGTGAAGATATAATAGATATGGCAAACCCCCATGCATGGGCCGTTGTGGATTATCATAAGTGTTAAAGCTATAACATAAGTGTTATATTTGCATGCAGTGTTTTTTTTTTTTTTTTTTTTTTTTTTTTTTCCCCTGTAGACATTGGGAAATCATTGCAGGGCTTTAAGCCTATGAGTATGTTCTTACTTTAAGAAAAAATAACGTGGTGACAATAGGTAGAATGCCTTGAAGGGACAGTGACACTTGTTAGGAAGGTGTTACATTTATTGGGTGTGTAGAGGGCAGTGTAATACAATCTTGTTTTATATTGTTTGTATTAGTTTCTCAGAGCTATTGTAACAAAGTACCACAGACTGGATGGCTTAGAGCAATAGAAAATGTTGTCTCTCAGTTCTAGAGGTCAGAAGTCTGAAGTTAAGGTGTTCGTCAGGGCCCTGCTCCCTGTGAATGCACTGGGAAAAGATCTGTTCCAGGCTCTCCCCTAGCTTCTGGAAGATCCTTAGTTTGTGGCACGGAAACTCAAACCCTCACATAACACTCTTCCTGTGTGCATGACTGTCTCTTCACTTGGCTTTCTTTTTATATGGCTATCAGTCACCATGAATTAGGGGCCACCCTATTTCACTACGTCTTCATCTTGATTTAACTAATTATTTCCACAACAACCTTATTTCCAGATAAGCTCGCATTCTGAGCTACTGGGGATCAGGAATTCAACAGGTGAATTTATGGGGACACAATTTAAGCTATAATGTTGTTTTTTCTAACTTCAGTATTGGATGGTCCCTTCTGGGTGCTTTTCTGGGTGCTTCCTAGCACTCTGGTAATAAGTACAGGTAAGAAAATTTAAAACTACGTTTTTGTTATAATACAAGTTTTTTAATAGAACTAGCTGCCACTGACCATTGGTGCCAATCAAAAACCAACTTTACCATTCAAATACTGGCAAGTGTGGGATGGTATATAGAACTTCTGTTTACTTATGCATATATTCTTGGAGAAAGCAGTTTAAAACTATTATGTGATATAAGGATTTAAAAAAGAAAAACACAAAAATCTTGTTTATACCATAATTAAAACTACCCAAGGAATATGCATGTCTGAAATTTAATATACTAAAAAGGTTTTAGTTTTACTATGGTGGTAAGATTTTGATTTTGATTTCAAAAGCTGATTTTTCCTGTAAATAAGGAGAAAGCAGATAAAGTGAAAGCTTTGAACTCTGGATCTTAATTTTCATGCAGTTCAAAAATTGTCATCATTATTCTGAGAACATAGGTGCCTGGTAACTTGATGTGATTATTAATATCACATCTTGTTTTTTCCCCCGACCCCCGACCCCGCCAATATCACATCTTAAATGTGGCATGAAGAAAGGGCAGAGCATAGGGCTGTGTTACTGCATTCTTTCCATTTTTATTTTAACTATCGACCCACTGCTTGATGCTAAGAGAGTTAACTTTAACCTCACTTAGTCACATGTTAACTTAGAGTAAGGACAAAAAAATTGATGTGTCATTCATTTGTTTATTGGAAGATTATGAAGTATCATGTCAGGTTTTGTTCCAGAAAAACATTTTTGGACTCAGACTAAAAATGCCGTGCTTTTGAGTGTGATGAGTGAGAAATAGAAGTGTTCCATTTGCTAATTATGAGTTATGGGTGGTTTTTTTTTGTTTTTTTTTTTTTTCAGAAGTTCTGTAAGTAGCTCTATTTAAAAATTAAAAAATGGACAAAGTGCATACAGCTATTTTGGGAACAAAATGTCATTATTACTGGCGGTATACTTTTTCATATATTGAACTAATATGTAGTTCAGAAAGTTCCTTGCTAATTTATCAAAATGTCATCTTCAGGTACTGGTTGGGAAATTAATAACTGCTGAAGTGTGTGACCATTGAAAAGTGTCACTACCTGCAGGGGCCTAACAGTTTTTAGCTTCTAGCATGAAGCAATGATGTTAATCATCAGTGTTGAGATTTAAAATGTCAGAAGTCCTTAAAGTTCTTAGCATAAAAATAAAGGCTAAAAGTTAAGCGTCTATTGTACTATAAATCCAGATGCACAAAAAGAAAACACAGTACTCAAAAAGTACTTTAAAGTACTCAAAGTACCTAAAAAGTGCATAGGAAACAAACAGCTTTTAACAGTATAATGGCAAATGTCTTAATTTTATTCTTATAGAAATGATTACTATTGGCTTTTAATTACTCTAAATTGAAGAATGGTATATTATTAGTACACTCTTCATAGATAATGTGTTCACTCTTAAATACTTATGTGGCCAATCATTTGTTTGAGCAAATACAGTTTTGCTTCCCCTGACAAAACTCAGCAGTTAGAAGAAGTAGCATAGAACTTATAGCGAAATAATATAAGAATTAAATCCCTTGACCAGACATGTTGGCTCATGCCTATAATCCCACACTTTTTGAGGCCAAAGCCAGTGGATTGCTTGAGCCCAGGAGTTCGAGACCAGTCTGGACAAAGTGGCTAAACTCTGTCTCTACATGAAACATAAAAAATTAGCCTGTAGTCCCAGCTACTCAGGAGGCTGAGGTGGGAGATCCCAGCTACTCAGGAGGCTGAGGTGGGAGAATCACCTGAGCCAGGGAAGTCGAGGCAGCAGTGAACTGTGATTGTACCACTGCACCCCAGACTGTCTCAAAAACAAACAAAAAATAATTGAATCATTTTACCTTAACACGGTTAACCACACTGGAAGATAGAAGATCTTAAGTAACTCCACAATTTACTATACTTTTATTTGCAGCAATACTTCTCCTGCCACTTTACATTTGGTACTTTGTTTAATTTCCCAACACTTTTGCATATACTTCACTCTTTTTCTCCTCCCATTGTACAAACAAACTAGGTAGGACATTGCATTTGACAGATGAGGAAACACAGGCACTGATATTTTAAGTATCTGACCCAATGGCAAATATAAGCTAAAACACCTGGTACTACAATTTAGGCCTTCCTGAGATCAGTGCTCCAATGTAAAGCTTTGTAGTTAAAATGTTATTTTTAATTCAGAATGAGGACTTAGTGCTCATAAGAATTCAAATAAGAAAGGAGTAGTTTATCCGTAGTCATGAAGCTATACTGCTCTTTAAGGGTTTAGCAGAGTGACCTTTGGGATTTATGTGCTACCTTGCTTCTAAAGAGAATACAGAATTTTTTTCAAATGTTATTAATCTGTACCTGTGAGGTAAGAGATGGTTGCTATCAGGGCAAATAAAGACTAGCTGAAATGCTTACGAGATCTGTGTCAGGTTATTATTTACAATAGAGTCTATTCTGACACCTGATAATATAGAAATTCCTGGATAGGTGAAGATTAAATCTTGGCTGTGTTCCCAATGGCTTTGGACAAATTATTACACCTCTGAGAGCTTCCGTACCTTGTCAGTGCAGTGGGGATTCTGGTGACACCTGTTGGATAGAGTTGACATGGGAATTGAATGGGAGATCCCATGTAGATTGCCTAAAAGAAGGCTGACACCTTCAAGGAGATAGCCTTCCTTGCTCTTCTTTCCCCACCATGTTAGATGCTTCTTCATTATTTCAGCTTATGTTACCTCAGTCAAGCCTTATTATCATTATATATAGCATTTTATCCTCAAGCTGAAGTACCTATTACAATGTACCTCATTTAACTACACTTTTTCCTTCCTTGCTGAAAAATAGAGGTCAATGGAAACAGCAGAAATGATTGCATATTACTCAAAAACTAGGAGATATTTCAGCCGACAGATCTTTAAGGAGTCACTGTAGGTGTTTGCTGGTTTAAGCCTTGTGAATAAACAATTGCTGTCTCAGAGTAAAAGGATTTAGAATGACTGTTATGTTTTTAATAATTGTGATGGTGTGACCTGGAGAATAGTTTGTGATTAAAGGTTGATGTTTTTAAGTACTAAATGGGGACTTTTAGGAAATTATGTGGGTAAATCAAAGATTTGCATGATCAGCATCAATTTTTTTCCCTCATGAAAAATTGCGATAACCATATATGATCAGAGTGGTATTTTCTTGATGCTATGAAATATAACACTGGGTAAAATAGTAAAATACTAAAATCAGTTGAGCATAATTTATGTTAAGTCACTTCTTTAGCAATAACTACCTAGTAGTACTAGTTAAGCCCTGATACAACTCTTAATATATAACAATATGGTTATGTCATTCACAAATAGGAAAATAATGCTTTTCTGTTTGCTATGACAGACTGCTTGTGCATTTATTCTGAAAGCAGTATCAGAACATTAGGGTATACATTAAAAGGAGCAGCATTAAAATATGGCCTATTTTACTATTTTTGAAACACTGGTCTGGTTTGCATGGTCTAGTTTGCTTACCATGATTTTTGTAGTAATAGAAAACACAATTTTTGCAGGAAGGTTGTAGGAGTATCAAGCATGGCGCATTTGGTTCCTAAAATAACCCTGTGATCTCAGTGACATTATCCCGTTTTGTGCATGAGGAATCTGGGACATAGAGAAGTTAAATATCTTGTTAGTGTTACACAACTAGCTAGAAATCACAATGCAATCTCTATCTAAGCACAAAAGCCATACACTTTTTTGTTTCTTTAAGTATATATGTTAACGGTAGAAAGGTGTCCAGGTTCTGGGTGTCTTGAACAAAGAATTGGATGAAATGCACAAACAAAGCAAGGAAGGAATGAAGGGATTTATTGAAAATGAAAGTACACCCCGCAGTGTGGGAGCGGTCCCCAGCATAGAGGCTCAAAGGCCCCACTGCAAAATTTTTGGAAGTTTAAATGCCCCTTAGAGGATTCCATTGGTTACTTGGAGTACACCCTGTGTAAATGAGGAGAACGAGGTAAAGCTACGAAGTCATTGACTTGGCCTATGCTCTATGGAGAGGATATTTCCTGCCATAGCTGAAGTGTGAACCGGCCTCATGTTCCCTGCCTCCAGACCCTATTTTCTTGCCTCACATATAGTCATCCAGTCATCACTCATGTCTAGATATCCGTTTTAAGGACATACATTTTGTTTCGTTTTCTGAAGTAATGAGAGGTAAAAGAAAAATAGATAAAATCATAGACTTTTAGCAAATTTATGTAAAATATGAAAATAAATATATGAACAATCAATAGTAAAACAGGCTTGTCTAAAATTTAGTTATTTTACATGTACATTAGTCATTGTACCAAGGATGTTTATTGATCCCGTAGTACTTTGTGTACAAAGCACTATGCATTCATGTCATTATCCCAACTTTACAGATGAGGAGACTGAGGCTTAGGGAGTTTAAACTCCTTGTCCAAAAACAAGAAGCAAAAACAAACAAACAAAAAAAACTAAGATTTTAGCCAACATCTGGGTGACTTCAAAGTCTGTGCCCTTAATCGGTATGCTATATCTTGGGGTGAAGAGAAAGCCCCATAGGAAAAAAGAATTGCTATGAATATGTTATTCAAAGTTATAGGAAAAATTGTTAAAGAAATAGACAGCTGTCCTTTCCGAAATTAGATTCCTCTTTATATCTGTATAAGAAATCATTACTAAGGAGTTAATTACAATGGTAGTATATTAAGGATTGAAACCTATTAATTATTATGGTAGCTTTTAAAATTTTGAGTGGAAAGACCTTTCCTAAAGCTGATTTCCCCCACAAATTCTAGGTTAAATAAAATATGGTGAGAGAACGTAGGGAGTCCCAGTTAGGATAAGACATAGGTTTATAAACTTGGGGAAAATAATCCAGCCTACACTAAGTTTTCTAACCCCAGGATTCTGTAACTGTAGTCATAGGGATTTGGGATGTATTTTTATCATTATAAAAACATTGTTTAAAATGTTTTTGCATGATAAGATTATTTTGGCTAGTTTTTTTCCTCAAATTATATCAATCAGTGTGCTAGCATTATTTTTCATATGTTGGCCAGAGTTTTAAGTGACAGCTACATGCTTTTAATTTATAAAAAACATTGATTGTTAATAAATTGTGTTTATTAATCTTTAAGTGCATGAAGTTTTGGATGTAGTATAAAGGAGGACAGAAGCAACAAAGAGGAAAAAATCTTTGTTGATTGAATGTTTGGAAATGATTGCGCTGATGTCTGTGGATCTTCCCTAATGAAATGTTCTTATTTAACATGGATGAACATCAATGAAATATTTTTTTTCCCCACTTCTTGGTCTTCAAAGTAGTTTGCAAAATGCCAGAATCCCATATTCATTTCATTACACATATATCTCTCAAGTTACCAGCCAGCTCAATCTTCAACACTGATCATTTTAATGCGTCTAGGAGCTGCATGGAAAGATAATCTTTTTAAACCAAGACAGTTTCTTCACAGGTGAGCAGAAATATTGTTGTGCAAAGACCACTATATAGATTTGGTAAGTTTATAAACTGTCTATGAGGCTTATGCATTCTAAACACACATTTAAAAAAAAACATTGAAAATGCAGATGGATACAGATACATACATATTTAGCTCCACAGGACAAAAAGGACTACTATAAATAGACTGTCTATAACCAACTAGTCACTGTGGTTAAGGACTCACATAATTTCCATAACAATCCTTCCTGAATTCTCTATTAATGTCTACATTTGGTAGGTACAGCCTCAGATCTTGGAAACATTAAATTGTTGATTGAAAGTCACACAGAAATACTAAAGATGGGATTAAACTTAGGGGCTAACAGCAGAGCCCTTTTCATGCTTTGACACCAAGTAGCCATTTTCAGATTTAAAAAAAATGACCTAGGGTCATATAATTTAATTTTCAGTTATCTGTAGTTTCTGGTCCAAGTTTCTTCAGTCCTGTCCAGTTCTCTGTGTGGCATTGTGTATGTGTAATTTCCTCAGTGTGTCCCTTATCCTGCTCTACGTGGAAGCATTTATGGGATCCACTTCTGAAACAGCCTCTGAATTGAAATACAATATATCTAGTCAACCTGAGTGTCCACAGGCCTTTAATGTGACAAGGGCAGTTCATTCTCACAGTCTTTGATATATTCATTTGACAAATATATATTCAATGCTTGCAGTTTATCAGGATTTTTCCTGTGTACTAGGAAGACTAAGATGAATATGGTGTGGTTCCTGCTTTTAAGAAACATAGAGGATTAAGAGGGCTACATTAGAAATAATTACCACACAGAGTGAGGACGTGCGGCAGTACAGGGAAGAGAAAAGGCCATTGGATGTACAAAAAAGGGAGAGCTTAATTTTGCCTAGTTATTATAAAGCCTTAGGAAAACTAAGACGGGCTTCAGAAAGGATGTGATTTTTGATCTATGCATTGAAAGAATCATAGGAATTAACAGCTGGAAAGAGGATGGAGTTTATTCCAAACAGAAGGATCCACGTCATGGAGGTTGCAGGGGTACTGCAAATAGTTCTTTATGGCTATAGCGAGTGTAGCGTGAAGAAATTGAAGAAGCAGCAGAAGACAAGAGATCCTCTGAAGTCTGATTTTAAAGGACCTTTTACTCTAGGGGTTAGACTTCATTGTCTTGGTAAAGAAAACTACTCATAGGCTGTATTTTTTAATTAGGAGAATAAACCTATGAATTTCAAAATGATTCCCCTGCCAACAACATGGAAAATAGATTTTAAAAACTGAAAACAGAATACTAGTTAAGGGGTCACATATCTAACCTAGGTGGGAAACACTGAGAGTCCATCTAAGTAAGTGACACAGAAATTGAAAAAAGATGGACCGATTTTATTGACATTTAGGAGAACTCCTTGCTTTACAGGATTTGAAATCGAAGAGTCTATGAAAATTGGATGGTTCTATTAAGTGAGAGAAAAAGTATAGTAAATGGAGCAGAGCTAAGTTGGGAACTAGATGAGTTGGGCTTAGATATGTTATTGAGTTTGAGGACACTCTGGAAATCACTAATTAGTGCTGAACCAGTCTGCCAGTGCAGAGATTTTTCATTCATCTGTATTTTGCAGCCCTGATGCAAAAAAAAAAAAAAAAAAAGTACAGGGATAGTTTAGAAATGATTTAGGGTTGATGAACAGAAAATAGATTAAATAGATTAGTTGAATGAGATTTTTGGTAAAAGAAAAATGTAAACAATTCACCAGGGCTAGTAAAAAAAAGAAAAAAAAATGAAGAAGCTGATAGATGGACAAAAAATACACAGCTTAAGGAATTAAGAGGTTCCAGGGTTTCAGAAAAGATAAAGGAATGAAGGAGCTGAAATAGTTTAAAGATTTTACAGACAGAGCTAATTCTGAATCATGTGGTATTCTATAGATTGGGGTTATATGAGCAGGTTGCTGAAGTGATTTGGGGTTAAATGTTTTATAGGGGAGGAGATAAAAAAACTGAGAAGCTAGAAAATTGGATGGGTTATCTCCATGTGTCGCAATCACTGAAAACTATTTAATGAGTTAGGTTGGAGAGGTAGACTATAAGCCAAGAGCTAATTTTCTCTATGTATGTAGAATGACCTGGAGGTCAGTTGAAGAAATGATTAAAGGACTGAGTAGAGGGTGTTACAGTAAAATAGTATTGGTCTCAGGGAGGAAAGAGGTTTTCAAGAGTCAGTTAATTCTATTTTGAACTTTGAAGTAAGATGCCAGGAAAATACCTTGAGTCTGATCTTAGTAATTTCTGAATCTGATTTTAGTAATTGTTAACCATGATAAACCTACTTTATGTGCATAGTATTAGACAATGGCCATCAATGATTGAGACATGGAAACTTCCTCTGTGTTCTATAGAATAAGGTATGTTTTATGATAAAAATTCTTTGAAAAGCTCCTGACAAGGAAACAATTAATTATGACTATGAAAAGAAATCAGGAAATCTACAAAAGTTTCTAGAAAATATTAGACCAGTACTTGAAAATATTAGACCAGTGCGTATTATGTTGGATGGAGAAGAAGAAATAAATGGGTGGAGACAAGTGTTCTGGAAGAGTGAATATTTCGAAGCTAGAGAAAAAAGAAGATGAGGGTAGAAATATTTTATTCTGTAAAAAATAAAATGAGGTTTCGAAAATTCATTTTGTTTTTTAGTAGGGGTAGCGGTATGGATAATAGGGTGGGAGGTATTTTAGTTAGAACTCATAAAGAGTTCAGTCTGAGATGCTGAGCTTTATGCTAATTTATGTTAATATACCACAGTTTTATTAAGTATTTCACTTACATATTTTTCTTCATAAAGTAATTTGTGCAAAGGTAGCAGTAATAATTTGAAGAAGGAAGTGCCAGTTTAGGAATGATCAGAAATGCACCTTTAAATTATCTATATACTTATAAATCACCACTGCCAAGTTCTAGAAAATTCTAAGGTAAAAGCAAAGATTGGAAGATAAAAATACAATTTTGAATTAATTTTAAATAAGGCCAGTCATCAGTTTTTAAAACAATATTCTCTTTGTTATGAAGGTGATAAGTTTTGTAAATTTTGAAAAAACTAAATTCAGTTTAAATTTTAATTCTGGAGATATCAAGTAGCGTAGGTGGATCAAGGTTATGATTCTTGTGTTTGCTCATTAGAACCATTTATGACAATGATGATATTTCTGCATACATTTGAAAAGTGTTAATGGCATATAATTGAAGGAGAGGACATTGGCTGACTAAGTTGGACCTCTGTCACTAGGGAACATGGATGGAAACTGAAGTAACTTTGGGAGCTGTATGCAATATTTATTTGTTTCAGTTTTTAGTGCACAACAGAATGTTCTG